CATATACAAAGAGAGTATGGCTTAAAGCCAAGTATACGAATATTTACCTGGTACACTGAGTTTTAATTACAGGTAGAAGGAAAAAACCTCAAATGAAATAACATTGAACAATATAGACAATTATGTCATCACCATTATGACAGATTTTTTAAAAATTAACTTATGTGGTAAGCACGAAAAATATCCCAGTCTATTCTATAAATTTGATTTACAATTTTAAAACTACCTCAGTACAATGGAAGATGGTTGCGCAACTTCGTGGATTGGTTAAGGTTAGACATTAACACCATTGGATGCCGGCTCAGTGGTCCAGTAGATTAGGCGTTCGCGTGCGAGACTGGAGGCCCTGGGTTCGAATCCCGCGAGCGGGGTCGTGTATGCGCACTGCTGAGGAGTATCACAATAGGACGAGACGGCCGTCCAATGCTTCCAGGTTTTCAATGGTGGTCTAACATCAATCGGTTCATGATCTCAATAAAAACTTAATCAATCTCCACAACCCCTACGCTGATATTATAATTATTTCTAAACCTTTTTAAAGAAAATCGAATTGAAAAGAGTAGTTGTAGATACATATATACATTCTTCTCTAACTTCATGGGATAATTTCACTTAAATTATACACCAAAAGATAATAAACACTAAACAAAACCTATTTTTGTGTTTTGTCAATTGTAAATTGGATAGTTATTTATAACTAGAATTTTATTTCTGAGTTTATTCAGTAGAGCAGGTTTCCATTTTTTTAGGCAGAAAAGAAACATTGAGCACATAGTTGTTTTACCTTAATGATCATTTTTTCCCTACCCATTCATCTATTATACCTACCTATTGATTAATTTATACTGTGTGGAATGAAATGTTAACAACATTTATCATCACTATATTATACTATATTTGCTCTCTTCGTCTCACTATTTTGGGGATAACATCAGCAACACATAACTTCACGAGAGAAAAGAGCAAAGAAGGCAATAGCTATTTTATTTTCCTTAATATATGTATGTATGTGTTTTAGTTGTTGTTGGAAATATATGTATACTGTACACATGTGTGCGTACATGCACACAATAATAGCCAGGTGCCTATAGTAATTATCATTGAAATGAGTAGAAGAGAATTATTAGATGTGTTATAGTCGTCGAACGATAGTAGATATGTCATACATACATAGAGTATCTGTATTTATATATATCAATGCTGTAGATTATTCAACTATTTTGAGACTGGTGCTTCAGCACGTTTTTTATCAACCTACGCAATTATCGCCTACAAATAATGTAGACATGTAATGATAACAACAACTAAATAATATTAAGCATGAGTTTTCCTATTTTTCACTAACTGATTAGGTTGACTAAAACCTCAACTATGATAGGAAAAAGATTTATTCATGATAGAGTATCGAGAAAAACACACACAAATTTTTGTATGTATGTATGTATGTATGTATGTATGTTTTTGTTTATACGAAGTTATTTTTACAGTTAAACAAATCAAGAAAGCACATTTTCATAATAATCACCGTTTTCTCAACGTAAATTCAACATTATAGTGTATTCTTGTATACATTTGTGTGTGTGTACACTTATCGTTTGTCAATGACCTCAAATTTTGAGCAACATAATATATATATATATATCCCATCAATATGTGTAGGCTGAGTAGATGATGTTGTATAAACAGCTTTATCGATTACTCTTCTCATTGACTCTGGGATTTTTTTGGACCAACAACAAATTTTCCCGCAGATTGAAATGGGAACGGAAACTATTATTGAATTTTTATAGCAGTACAGAAAATTCAGAAGACTAGAATTAAGAGTATTGTTGTCCAATGAGAAATGAATTGAGCAAATACGTCTATTTGCCCCCTTTGTATACTACTTTTGAGCATTGACTATGATGAAATCAGACAATATCGACTGATCATGTGAGAAGGAAATAAAACCATGATTTTAACTTACAGAAAAGTCTACTGTTTTAGTACTAGGTATTAAATGCGTCAAGTTTTATTTATGTGCAAATGAGTGTTTTAACTTCTGTACAAGTGTTACAGATGTGCACCAAGATTAGAGTGGACTCAAAAGAAAAAATTCTCTAACACACAAGATGAATTAGCTAGGGAATAAGTATAAACAAGGAGTTAATGTAGGTTCCAAAAGAATTTCCTACACATAAAACAGGATTATAAAATAGAAAAGAGCTTTATGATGGTACAGGAGTTAATTATAGTCAATAGCTGGCGAAACCTACATAGATAATAAATAAATGATGTATATGTAATATTAACATATGTTCAGCTGCCAATCAAAGGACAAAACAAAAACTAACACAGCTAATTTGTTAATAATGGATAGATAATTTAAACATTAAAGTAATTTTAAAAAAGGAATCTATTTACTGAGGTAAATCTCATCTTGATTTGTTTTCTCAGCAAGTCACAATGGAACAGTAAAACGTTCATTGAATATATATATCGTCCGGTTAGATCAAAAGCCAACGATCGCGATTGACATATTTTCACTTTATCAATTCATCAAAATGTATTAGCAAAGATCTGTAATTGACCAGCTTTGGAACCACTTAAATGTTAAATAGATCAGCTATGTTTTAAAGTTACCGACGACCAACTAGTTATCAAGGTAGAACGCACTGTTACACTGTAAGTTCTACATATAATGGTGAAGTAAGTGTTTATCATCCCTTTCACTAAGATCGTTATAGGTTTATAAATATGAACAAGAAACGCTTAATAAACGAGATTATGCTTGTATATTTATCAAGTGTATTCATTCCTATTTTACCACATAAAGTAAATACTTAAACATAAATACGTGTCGTTCATCCTTCAGGTATTCGATCCCAACTACGTTTCTCCCAAATTGGTTCCGATAGCTCAGCAGTATCTTTTATTTTCATATTATAAATGTAGCTCGTTGTCAAGTACAAGTACATGAACGTACTTACTGAAGATAAATTACTAAAACAAATATACCCAAAAGATCATTTCCGGTGATGTGAGTCAATCTAGCTGATTTATTATTGATTCAAATAATGAGCTAATAACAAAAGTAAAATGAGGCTCATACGATAGTAAAAATAAAGATAAAATAAGCAATTTTAATTATTCTTCCCTCTCCATCTTCGCTTCTATCAAGTGTACATTGAATATAATTAATGCAATATACAAAATATAGCACAATAAGCCTGATCTATTGATTCTCTTCCATTAGAACTAAATACAATGTTTAAATACATTGTTCAACCAATAGAAATAAATCATTGGACAATTATTAACGATCCTCAAACACTTCGCCCTCACGAGAAAATTAAAACCTTTTATAATACGACTAAGTAGTATCGACCTAAATTCACCATAATTAACAACGGCACATTATAATGTGCTTGGGTATAGTATAGAACTCATAGGATTTACACAGGACGAGTGAAAACATGTAAATTTATTTGCGTATGTGTAAATTTGTAGGTTATGTATTTTTTTGGAAGAGTTGAGTTTTTTTAACTATTATGCCCACCATATTGATCAAAGATTAGTTGAAACCCACACAAAGTAGAAGAATGAATGAGTCAGAATAGTGACAAAATTGATTTTTTTTTCAAGTCCCCAAATAAAATAAGTGGAAAATCTGTCACGTTGTGTGCGTGAAGTAAATGTGACCAGTCACAACACTAAATTGGTCGAGAGGTGAGAATTAGATTTTGGTTAAAACAGTAGGAGGATCTCCACCACCCTCTCTTCATATATAAACGATAAAACATCAAAAATCAAGTTGGATGAGATCAACTGTGCAGTAAATTAATCAAATAGTATTGATTTGTAAGTCATACTACTCCGTACAACCTAATACAGGGTGTTCAATTTAATAAAAGGAGGAGCTAAGACAAAGGAAGATGAGTAGTATTATTTATGGTTAACCAATACCAAAGTTTGAGTCTGAGATAAGTCCTATCATTATGATTCTGATACTGAGTTTAATAATAATAATAATACACTGACTCTTGAAATCCTGAAATCAAGGTTACGAAATAAGACAAGAAGTCTACATAACAGTAGATCTCATACCTAGTTGAGATAAGGATATATATATATATATATAAATCTTTAGAAAAAAATGCTGTGCATAATTACAAACACCTCTATTGAGTGTATTTACAATACACACAATTAATGATTGTAAAATTAGGAAAAAATAAATTATTTCTTGTGATATCATACAGCAATAAACGGGCATAAAGTAACACATAAATAATTACAGAATAATAGTAAAATCTAAAAATAATAACGAGTAACATGTAAAGATTACATCCTAACGAATTAGATTTATAAATTTAGTTAACAAAATGATCTGTTTTTTAAAAGCGATCAGACCATATGGGTGTTGTCATAAGATAATGAAAGTATTTCGTCAATTAGTTTTGTCGGGGAATCTAAACAATGTACGGATTTATTCAGTCCAATGAAGTTGTTAAGTTATGGTTAAAGAATAATAGACAGAATTAAACAACTCAAATCTACTGAGAATGAATCTTAAGAGAAAATGTCTTCAAGTTATACGAAGAAACAATATATCTGTATATTTCCTGAAATGTCAAAATCCAAAGCATATTCAGTGTACAATATGGTGGAAAAAGATAGACAACCAAATTAGTAACATTATATTAATAAAATCATGAAAGTTTTTACTTGGTTAAGTTTAATGGCAAGTTATTCTTGTCCCTGATCACTTACAGTAACCCAGAATACAGTATATTAAAAGTGAAACACAAATTGCTTTCATATTTATTACAGAAATTTGAAACCTTAATTTACATTTAAACAGACATTTATGATGGTCATGAAAATCACCCTGTTCGTTTACAAATGTCTTATAAAAAGGCGTACTACTTATACTTACTAAGTAGCTAAATTTATAATATTAAATAAATGCATGATGGATTCTAGTAAATAAATAATTCATGCAATTAATCAAAACTTACGTGTTAGACCGGTATATGAAAACATGCCAACTTGATTGATGATATGCTCCCAATTCCCTGGTGTTCCTAAACTTCTCAAGCGCTCATAAAGTCCCTGCCTCATTTCACGAATACGTTGGGCCATTGCAATCACACAGGTTTTCCTACATAGGAAAAACAATATGAAATAAATGACGGCGATACAATCACTATCCAATTATAAAGATCAGATTATTCTACCAATACTTTATGATGAATATAAATAAATTTCTTTACTCTTCAAAAGTCCCCTGATGTAAATTAAGTTAAATAGAAAGAGAATTGGTCATGGGCTGAAATATGAGAATACAATAAAAGTCTAAATATTGCAATTTATTTGTAACAAGATCATGAAAATGAAGACAGTCAGCTTAAAAACTGCACAAAAATGACTACGGTCGAGCTAACGGAGGTTGTGTACTGTTATGATCTGATTAGATTTATTGTTTGGATTCTTAAAGAAATACCCCCATTACACACGTCAGTGACTTACTGGACTCAATGGATCAGCGTAAAATATTAGCTAAGTGGACAACGGGTCGGCGTTTGCAGAGAAAGGTACTGGGTTCGAGTTCCGGAGTGAACGTCATCTAGGACGAAACATGCATCTTGGATTCCACTGTTAGCCACTGTCCAACTCTGCTTAAAATGTTATGAAATAATTGCAATATCCAGACAATCCATACAGGATGAACACATGCCAAAAAGAGACTGATCAATTTCAGTCTTAAACATCCATAGGAAAATCCAAATAACCAATACAAAATGTATGTACGTGTGCTTGTTTTAAAATAATGTGGTGCTTCCAAATCACGGTGTATTGATGGCAATTATTTAGGTCAAATTTCAGATTTTTAATACTTTTGTGGACATGCTCATGGGTATGGACAACTAAATTTACTTTTCTTTTCTGGAAGAATGCAGAGTGATAACTATGGTATGAATTTTCGTATGATGTACATATAACATCGCCTGCTGCATACAAGTGCTTTTCGGCGCCTGATTCTTACTGTATGTCTTGTAGTTCAAGCAAGCCATGGTTGGTCTAGCAGGTTATAGTTCATCTCTCAATGTATAAGAAAAAATAAACCGTATGTTGTGGTAGAGAAAATATCGTAGGGTAACTCTCCAGACTAGTTTAAGGCTTATTATTGTGTAATTACTAAATAAGCGGACTACTATGTTTCCGTTTACTGTAAGTTTTCCTTTTACCCATTAACTATTACTATACTTGTTATTCTTAAATTATTGTTAATGAACCATTTAAAATTCTACCCAATCCATGTATCATTATGATTTTCTATTTTATGGTGTGATTTAGTTGTTTGTCAGGTATATTATATAATCAGTACTTGAGGTAGTTTCTGGGCTGGTTGGTTGAAATATATTAGTAGAGACTTGGTCAATATTGTTGATTCAGGGCGCAAGGTTGAGGACAGGAAGGAATGAGGATTATATTAGCTCAAGGTTAAATGTGATGTCGGAACTTATCGTTGGTCAAGGCACCGAGTAGAGAAATTACAATCGAATTTCTTTTGACGAACTTGCCAAGTCATATTAACTAAACCGTTTAGACATAACACAATGGTAGTACTGAAAATTCTGGTAGAGACAGATCGGTTAACTATCGTCAGCGCACCTGATTTAAACATAATGGGAAATCGAGAAGTCACATAAAGAATGAACTTCTACAAGGATTGCAGATCAAACTTGAACAAAGTTGATCCCCAGTTATTCCAGTTCAGGACAGTTATTGCCTCCAAGTAATATAAAACGTTGAATGATCAATTTATTTAATATTAACAAATTTGATCTTGACAATTAAAAAAAATTATAAAAACTATTTTTCATAACAACGTTTAAAAAACGATGCAAAAATTAGTTTAAATGTCTATTTGTTTAATCTTATAATAAACTTTTCAAAATAATACATATAATTTAACTGTATGACCGTTTCAAAACGGCCATGTTTTCCATGATGATCTAATTTCAATTGACTCATAATATTAACTATTCATATCCACAAAATTCATTCTGATACTACTTATAAAAATTAGGAAATGTATTAAAAACATAACAAATAAGTAAATTTACAATATCAAATAATGACAATTTGTACTTTTATAACCGATTCATATAAAGAATAAACATTGTAGGAATAACTTAGACTATTGACATTAAATATAAACTCGAATAGAAATGATTATACAGAAAATAAAGGTCAAAATGGATTGGCATTATTTATTTATTTTTTGTTGTGAAAATTTTTCTCACTAAGTGGATGTATCATTAGACAGATTAATGTTTTGTTCTAATGGATTACATTTTTATTTTATTCAAGGATATTAGAAATTGAATCAAACAACAAAACTTATAAGCAAAGATGGATAGTGGCTAGCAGTGGAATCCAGGGCGTGCGTTTCGTTCTATTTGGGACTCGTCAGTTTGATGTACCTGCATCTCAGAGTTGATGTTCACTCTGGGACTCGAACCTAGTACCGTCCGCTTCTTATCTTTTTACAGACAGTATTATTCAGTGTAACTTTGTATGGATTATCTAGTTTGTATCATTAAAATAAAGATAGTATACTAGATCAATCGCTTAGTTAGGAAGCTTACTATTTTTCATTTATAATGATTATTTTAATCAAAATTATATCAGAAGGGGTTTTGTAGAGATTTTAGTGATTTCAATAGTTGAGATCATGAGTCAATTGAAGCCAGACCACCATGAAAAACCTGGAGACACTGGATGACCATTTCGTCCTAGTATGTGACTCCTCAGCAGTGCGTATGCACGGTCCCACCTCGCGGGACTCGAACCCAGGCCCTATAGGTCTCTCGTGCGAGCGCTTAACTACTAGACCACTGAACCGGTATTCAAACATATTCCAAAAACACTCACATCACTGATTGTATTATTGTCATTATTGGTATTAGTATTTAACAATAATACGCGTTCCCTTTTTTGAAAAGCACTTAATCATTGGGAATGACCTTCACTCACAAATAAAATTTCACGAAAATCTCTCCAGTTGTCTTTAACCTTTAATCCTTCGTGTGACCTTGAATTCCGAGTCAGTCATATGACTCATTATTGATCTATTTTATCTCAATCATTATTAACTCTAATGCATGATTCCTAATCATTATATACATACACAAGAAAAAATTTACTTCGATGAGATATTTGTTTGTTATTGTAAACTTAAGAGAGAAATAATTCATTTACAAGTTTACATTACAAACTAATATTTGGCTATTTTAAAGTATATGCTTAAAATCAATGTGGCTGAAAATTACTTATCGACCAGTCCGTGTGACACATAAACCCGTACGAGTAGTTTAGAGTCATTATCAGTCCTTTTTCCTGCCTAGACCTGCCTGTTGAGTTCAGAACAGAAATATTGGCCTCCTCAATATGAATCATATATTTCAAACATATTGGGTTTATGTACAAGCAAACCAGATCACATCCACAATAAAATAGAAAATAACATTTGTGAAAGATCTAGCCAAAAGTGGCCATGATTGTGGGAGACTGTAATTAGTAAACTGAGCATAACTTGAGAATGATAAATCGTATAATAATAGCCTATAGTTTAAAACAAAGCTCATAATAGGAGGAATATGAATATACATAGTTTAGTTACTTAACAATTATACAGTACAAATATATGTATAATATTAGATCATAAATAGATTCCAACTGTTACCATTCTCTATTCTCGTCGAGATATAACAATCTTTAACAAAGTGAGTAGTAGAAAATAACCATATTGTCAGCTTGAAAGAGATAAGAGATCTTCAGATTAACCCAGCAAATATTAGCCAATCGGAATGCTGCTTTTAAAATGAGATATATATTACCAAAAAAGGTTTGAAAAAAATGTGCTTTTGGAATGCTACCATTCTAGCTTCTAAAAAACAAATTATCTTTTGATTCTGTGACATTTCTGAATGTCATTTCCTGTTCACGGCTACATAAGGCGCATTTCCTCAATAGTCGAACATTCTGTAGGCGACCTACGATAATATCGTCAAAAACGCGGAGCCTTATAGCAGACTATCCACAATTCAGTTTTAAAAATCACACAGAAATTCAATAATCCGAATCTTCATTCTGATTGATCGATTCAACTTACTTCAGTGCTGTCAGTATAGTTGAGCTCTAACGAACAGGTTAATCGCTGGTTAGAAGAAACTACTTTAAAATAATGTGGCCAACTGAATTAAGTTAAACTTGTCCAGCGAGAATCTAACGGCACGAATAAGCCGAACCATAATTTAAGTATCTCTCGAAATGTGTTGATTCCCTGAATATATTTATTTTCAACTTATTATCATTATTATGTCTTCGTTAAGCTAAGCAATCAAGAAACGTTAGTTTGTGATCATTGCACTCTATTTCCTTTGTTAGCATGATGTTCTCCGAAAGGCTGTTTACATTTTCAAACACTTCTTCCAAACGATTCCGTTTAATAATATTAAAAATGTCATCTACATACCATAACCAGACTTTTGATGGATCTACACATTTTGTGATCGCACCGGTTTCTAGAGAAATTCGCTACAATTGGAGAAACTGGTGAACCCATTGCTATACCTTCTTTCTGACTGTAGAGATCTCAAAATGTGAATAACGTGGATAGTAAACACAACTCCAAACACTTAATAACTTCGGATAGATCTAACGGGGATCGTAAATTCAAATGAGTCAGATTTTAGACAATCATAAATAATATCCAATGCTCTGTTGATGAGTACATTAGTAAATAAGGAAGATACATCAAAACTTGCCATCATTTTATCCTCTTCTATATGGGTGGTATCGATATTAATCTTGAATTCAATAGTTTTTAATTCCTTGATTAATCAATTTGTCACATGGTTTAAGTATTCTAACTAAGTAATTCACTAGATTGTATGTCGTTAAATTTGTAAAAATCAACCAATGGTCTTAATGAAAACAGGACACAAAATCAATTTTGAAGGGACCAAAATACTTTAGAAAGATTTTAGCACACATATTCGTTAAGAAGTAATTGGGCCCTTTCTCTATCCAACCTGTTTATTTCACATGCATTGATATTCGGACTGAAAGTAATCTTGGATATTTTCGCAATACAATTATTTATTTGATGATGGAATAAAGTTCATTAGACAACTGCTGAAAACAAGGAAGCACTCGACATCTGTTTCGTTCTAGTATGGGGCTGATTAGCAGTGTGCATACATGACTCCGATAAGAATCGAACACAGAATATTCAGGTTTCGTGGTGAGTGCTTAACTTCTAGATTACAGCATCTAATGATTTATATTGCCGACTCCAATAAATGAGTGATACTGCGAAACCATCATCCGACAACCAACACCCGACATGGTTGAACTCCAAAGGTTACAGGATCTCCCTCTTGAAATTAATTGCTAGTAAGCACCTTGGATATTAATTTAACGGTTTAAAGAGCAACCGCACACCGCAAGACTTTAAGGTCTTGAGTTCGATTATGAGGAATCGCACAGTACGACGGAAAACCTCCCCAGTGCTTTCTGATTTTCAATGGTCGTTTAATTAAAGTCAGTCTGAGATGTTAACCATACAATAAACTATTATTTATGAAAAATGAAAAAAATGCTTACATACACTTACCACTCATTGAATAACGAAATATTATTTAATATGGTAGCAACAATTCGTGCACCATGTTGTGGTGGATTGGACCATGTTTGACGAATTAATAATTTCACTTGTGATTTTACATGTGATGTAGTTACTGGATCTTGTGTGATAAATATTAGATTGCCAACACGTTCATCTGTAATAATTGTTTTTTTTATGGTTAAAATACAAAATGGATATTAGTAATTGTTCAGGAATATATCATTTTTTATCCATACAAATCTAACACATTTGGTACTTTTGTATAAATGAATGGCTAGAAAAGAATGCTCATTCTCCGTGTATATGCACATTTGTGTTAAATACACAGCTTACACTGGTAAGCCATTTCAATATTGATACAGGCGTGAAAAATTTACTTAAAGTAGACTTAATCAGGAACACAAAGAAAACATTCAAAACAATAAGTACGGAAAATCCTGGGTCATTAAAATCACTACTTATTTTTCATTACGAATTAATTTATTTACAAGTTAAAAAAGAAAAACAAACAATCATCAATCAACATATAAAGCTAAAAGACAAACAGGAAAGTAAGCAGTGGTATTAGGGGTATGAATCACTTGAAATAAGTGGCTATTTTTACTAAAACTAGCCAGTGTTAAATAAAATAAATGGAAGTATACAAAACATTGTCTAGGTAACAGAATAATTTCATTATGAAAATGGGTAGTGATGAATGAGCAAATAATAATAATGATAACAATAACGTGTAATTTATGTAAAATGGTAATTCAGTATTCATCTCCGTAAGTGATTTTCAGTTATTTTACATTGGCCCGTACATTACTGCTCATTACGTTTTAAACCCAACATAGTTAAGTTTTATGGAGAACTAATGAAAATTGGATTGCTGAAGATTTTTGATGAAGAAATTCACTCTTAGTCAATTAATACTATTTAGATATCCATGAATCGTTTGGTCCCGAGCAGTGATACAAGTAACCAATTAATCAGAATGGTAACATAACAAAGCTCTCAATCAATTTTAATCGGCATTTTCCAAGCCATGATGGACATTTCGTTTTCTAAACGTTTAAATTGGAATTTTTACTTTAGCAGGATAATCTATAGTTCAGTAACGTCAGGTACATCTTGTTATATTGCAGACTATGAGGACTTACAATGATACCCGAAATCCGAGTGAAAACAACCGGTTAAACATTAGGTGATAAAATAATGAAGTTACAAGATACTCTAAGATAAATAACAGTTGTCATCATCAAGTTAAATACATAATAAATATAAGATTGTATATTCTATGATTATTAAGTGGATATTCGTGAACTTGTAGACAAGTCTCCTAATAGACGAGACAATTTTGATCTATATACAGAGACAATAAAATAATTAAGAGAATTAGACAATATTTTATCAGCAAAAACGGTGAATACATGTATGTTTTGTAACTTTTGTATACCATAAGAAATATTTACTGGAATTATACTTCAATAGTTGAGATCATGAGTCAATTGAAGATAGACCACCATGGGAAACCTAGAAGCACTGGACGATCGTTTCGTTCTATTGTGGGACTCCTCATCAGTGCGACTTCACAGCTACTCATTATGTCTGTTTTGTGAATCAATAGACGAACAATTCATATCAAAACATGGGTGATTTCACAAAAGTGGGTAATTACAGCATAAACTGAACTAGTAAATATGGAGGGTCTGGGTATAGGTATTAAAAAAGCTTGATCTCAAACCGACGGTGGAAATGGGCATTATGATTCTAAAGGAGAAAAGGTGTATGAAACTAATTTATTTGTTGATGCGTCTATTAAAACACTTCTCCACTTTCATGTTGGTTAGTCCCTAGGAAATTATACCTAGCGAAAATCAGCTATTACTATTCGGACAAGAGGATACTATCTTATAACTTACACAAACCAAGTCAATAAATAAGTACCCCGACGAAAAACTCACAATATGTATACCGAAAGTCAAAAAATACAATTATTAAAAATGTGGACATTAGCATTTGTTAAAAATCAATCAAATGAAACGATTCAAACAAATAGTCAGTCAAAATCAACGTAAATACTGGGGAAAATGTTTTGGCCCAAGTTGGACTACCTTATCAGCACGACAAGATTAAATGAGTTTAGAAGCATAGAATACTTGTAGTGGAAACTCGAAGATAAATAAATAAATAACATTATCTCTAATCTTGCCAACGATGAATCAGTTGTATACTAATTTCTCACGCAGTTTTCTCCCTTATTTATTTATTTATTTGAACACATAAATATTGGTACAAAGATGCATCGAATACATATGAGCCACACAAGTCACTTCATTTGTTTGTGGGCTGTGATACTACCTGGGTGCCCAGACCGAACCACGCGGTTTTCATAGGAAGCCATATCCGGAGCCTTCGACCTGAAAGTCAGATCCATAAGGTAGTGGAGCGATGTCAGCAGATGCAGTCCCATGGTAGCCGGTGACCGACAATAGGTTCATACGCCATTTGTTTCTTCAGGATAGTGGAGCCAGCCCATGTACACCATTGGTTTGGAATCAAGGTTTTCCAACCCCCCTAGGGGGACTCTCCGTGTCCACCAACCCAGTTACAGCGCCGAACATTCGCTTTTCATCCTCTCAATTTCGTAAACAACACCCCCGCAGTGAGTAGGACTTCCCTGGCAGTGGTTGTATACACGTGGTCATGTGAGAGCATTTCGAGGACAACAGACTCTCCCTACCCTCAACCGTACCATGGCATTTAGGGGCTCTTCTCCTTCAATATTTTATAAATTAAATATTTTCTAAAAACAAAGAAATATTTAGTCAAACATTTGTTTTCAACAAATTTGTCACGTTACTAGAAATCTACAAATATTTCAATAGAATCAGCCAACTTTAAGGAAGTATAAAAATTTAAGGTATAGAAAATATAATGATGACCAAAAACTATAAGGTCACATATAGGTTAGGGATAATGTAAAATGAATTTATTTTTACTCTAGAATAAAGAAAAGCTACAGTACTGATTCAAAATCAATAAAATGAAGAAACAAAAAATCAAAATTTAATTTTTATATTAGATTAATTATGATAATAATACTATAATATGGGAATCAAATTTAATACGGATTGAGAATTTTTCATAAGGAGAAAATAGGTTGAAGCAATAAATAAGTAAAAAACGTTAAGTGTTAAGGTGTATATTATATGGACTAATCAATATAATTATAAGTAAAATAGTTTCATTGAAAGCAAAGGCAAACTAAAATGGTTTGAATTACATCTTGAAATAAAATAAATGAAGTATCTTTATGAAATGACAAATCCTTAAAAAATATAATTTATGTTACAAGTAAAACAAAATCAGTTAAGCCGATATATTAATTAAACATATTAACAGTAATTTACTTTGGAATTTTTATGATAGTACTGGTATGGTTAATAAACTAATGTACAATTGAGCTGTATTGAACACCTTTTTAACTTATCTTTTCCATATATGATGATAGAACATCATTAGTGTTTTTGTTTTTACTCATGATATACATTTTGATAATTCTGCTGGATTGGAATGTCTATTCTTGATATTCAACATTTCCACTTTTACAATACACAATACAAATGGGTGTATAACATTTATAACTGAAACATTCAACAATAGTTCCAATCTAGAGAAATAATTAGCCTTATAAAAATAAACTCAAATGCTTTTGTATGTTCAACAAACATAGTCAATAAAGACAAATGGTAAAGCAGACAAAAACAAGCAGATAGCTAATTAACTTAAACACATTTAGACGTAAGGAACACTAAAATAAATTTCGTAGCTATAATACTAATTCTCAAAATTAATATGATAATATGCGTAAAATTAATTTGAATTAATTCATGAAGGTTGCTTATTAGTTTGTCATTAGACACGAGGTGAGTTGAGCACATAATTCATTTTCGTCTTCACTAAAATTATATTTATTGTGGACAAGTTGTAACAGAAAATTGTCAAGTTTATAAAAGAAAATATCATAATTCAAAATAAAATTAAAATAACACAAGACGTTCATTGTGAATAATTAATGGAGACAATTTAACAGAAGATATGTTTTTTTCAGGTTTTTTGAAGAATGCCATCTACTATTGCCGTACGATTATATTTATGATCTAACATATGTAATCTACTTGAAAAAAAGATTGAGAGATTGAGTCATTAATGTAGTATTTAAAAATTTGCATTATCAAAAATGTTGCAAAATAATCTAAACATTAAATTAAGATAATCTATAGACTATGGGTATGCGAGTTGGTTATCCTTTTGATGAGCATGAAGGAGGAAACTTGGTGGATGATAATAGCAATTAGTCATTAAGTATGAAAAAAGGAGGTTAGGACAATCACAGAATCAGGGATTGTACATGGTGTTTAAATCGATAAACTGTTAAAGACTCTGTAAAAGTTTCTAGTTCGTAAATGAATTTGAAAGACAATTCTATTGAGACACGATCATAATTAGGTTTCTTCTGATAGCCAGGCAAGAGAACGTTCGCAGATGTGATTATAAAGATTTTCGTATGTGGTCGACATAGTCTGAGAGTGATTTATACAGACACATTGATGTGAACCAAAATGGGAGTTTTTTGTTAACACAGCTGTGGATCAGAAGTCGAGAGCATAAGCCAACATGAAATTCAACGTTGTGGAAAATTATATTATTGATGTCTCGTTATAGTTACTATACGATTCAGGGGACAAAGCCGTAGCAGATTTTATCTTCAGTATTTCAGGAACACTATTCTCTGTTTATGAACAGCTTACTTTAGGGTTCCAGAGGATTTTTATGATTGTCGTGTCTGTTATCCTAGGAGGGATAGCTATTTTTGACAATTTTTTTCGGGAGCTTTTTCGTGCTATTGTATTTTCCAGTAGATCATAATGTATGTTACATAAAGAAAGGATTAGAAAATGTTGACTTCAGAAAGCGAAAACAGAAGTTAGATAGTTTAAGGTTGTCGACAGGAAACCTCGAGTTTAGGTTTCCTGTTAGTCGATATTCACTAACGAGAAATACCTAAAATCTTGAGGGGACTGATGTTCACTATGAGGTTTGAACCCAAATCACCAAGTTTCACAGTCTGAGATGTTACCATTGAGCTGTTCGTGACGTGATTGACAT